CGATGACGAGTTGCAATTTCCAGACACTTTGACATGCAAATGTCCACATAAAGAACTTGCTGAAATTCCCCCAGCTGGGCCGATGCAAACCTGTGTGCGACACTAGCTGCAGGTAAGCGAAATCAAAAAACGAAAAGATTGAACTTCAAGACAGTTACGACAAGTAGCTGCGCTGCAGCTGCGAGACAAACGAGAAGGCAGACACGTGGAAGAGCGACAATAGCAGTCAAGGCGACAAGAGTTGAGTAAAATTGAATTGAAAATGAAGTTTTGCAATCACTCAAGCAAATGTGTGGGCGTCGACTGATACCGATATGCAAAAAAGTATGAGTGTTGCAAAAAGTTCTGACAACGCTTGGCTTTACACGCAAATATGTGCCGTTTTGTTGCACTTTTGGGTCTTAGTTGTGGTGAAAACTTTTGAGGACATCAAAAAAGAAGAAAGAGAAATGAAACAAAGGCGTACGCATGGTACACAGAAGCGAAGTCTAAAAGTTTTTGGTAATGCTCTGTATGTATAAAATTGATATTGTAATGATCAAATATTTTTGAAGTCCCAAGAAGTATTTGGAATCAGACAATGGTATCGTTCTCAATCATAGCATTTCATGATCATAAGAGAGGAAATGTCAATACCTGCCCAATGTAAGGAGCCTAACCAAATATCTGCTATGAAGAAATTTCAATGGCATTAGACTGTGTGTAACAGAACATCCTCTAAGAAATATATCGAAAATTTTTGAAAATTCATATCCCATATTTTACCCAGTATCTTATAAGAAGATCTTGATATCATTTAACCACTTTTTGTATCAAGTCTGTTTTTAGAACTGATCTCATATTATAGACGAAAAGTTCGCGTTAGACCATAGCCCATTAGATTAAACTTTTTATACATATAGGTTGGATAAACGGGCCGATCTCTGTGACAGTACTCACGAACCCTCCGACTTGCACAGCTGAGAATATCGTTTGTGATGTCACCAACTTTGAGTTTTGGATCAGGCTAATATCTATTCCGACCAACTCATCTGGTTCATCGAAGCTGTGGCTACGAAGAAGTTTTAACCTAAGTTTAGGGGAAGCTGGACAGTGAAGAAGAAATGGTCTAGATTTTTCTACTCTGCTGTTTGTTTCATACAACTTAATGTTTGGCTTGATTTTTAGCTTCGCCACATTAATGTCAATAGGACAGAGTCTACTTAGAATTAACAAATTTGCGGCTAGTTGAACCTTACTAAAAGCGAGCAACAACAAACTTCTTATATTCCGCTCTGAACCAGACGGATTTCGAAACCGCACATGCGATGCTTGCTGACCAACCTTTGCTAAGCTTGAGCAAGGCCCACTGATCTAGCGAAAAAATATCAATAAAGCTTTGTTTAGACTACCTAGAATATATTTATACCCAATACTTTCCCGTTTAATAACTAAACTTTAATCACATATTACTCAATTGTGTACCAAAGACTGGACATTTTTTTGTGAAAGCTTTTAAGTCATGCTCCAACACTGAGCTTTAAAAATTTTAAGCTACTTTCAAAAGGCTAATGTGTTTTGATGATAGATTTTTTCTTATTAGAAGTACTATTCAAACTAGGAAGCGACTTTCTCTTAGGAACATACGCGTTTTCTTTTTTTCAGGTGTTCCGAGCTCAGACCTACGCTTGCCGTTTGGTCCTATGTCTATTTTTCTAAAAGAAGGCGACAAATGGTATTTAAAAATATCGAGCTTGATATAAGGAAAGGAATGTAATATTTTGCGTATAGTTCCATCATGAAAGCTGGATCTCATTGCCAAGTTGCTAAAGGATTTAATCATTTTAATTGATCTAACTATCAAGTACACTATGTTTCAACGCTTCTTTAATGTTTGCTACTCCTGCTTTAGGTAAATTATATAGGTCTCTCGTAAGCTTCTTAGCAGTTGAAAATTCCAAAATATTTTTGAAATAAAAACTTGAGGTTATGAAAATAAGGTTTCAAACCAGTGTGCAATGATCACTGTACTGGGGACACGAGTACATATGTAGCACAACCAGTTAACTGTACTGTTATTCTTCAACACTTCGACTCGCTTCAACAAGGACACACCTGGTGGCGTCAGCTTGTTCACTATCTGCACATGCAACGAGCCGTGGCGTGTATATGCAGATGATCCAACTAAAGGGTGAATCTGATATGACCGCTGGCTGACTGACTGTCTAACCGGAGTTAATGTGATGCATACTTATAGGCGTTTAGAGGGGATCAGTAAGCAAAAATCGCAAGAGCGCCCACCCCTAAATGCATATGTATGTTTGTGTGACAACGTGGCAGCTAACTTTCATTACTTCTAAAGTTTCACGACAGAGGCGTAAAATTGCTGGCTGCAACAATTTCCATTTCACCGGCGAGCAGCCACTTATTTGACTTGCAGCTATCCTAACATTGCTCGGTTGAATGGCAGGACTTTTCAGCAGCAAATGCACATCCTGCACTTGAAATAAGCGAACGCCAGTGTGTATGTGGGTGTGTGAGTGTTGGAGGACTGCAGGCTACTGGCGGCTGAAGATGAGTGTTTGTAGATGATGTGAGTACGTGCTCGCTCCTAAGGGTGCTTGGGTGCTGTCTCTTTGCACATGTATGTGTAGAATATGTAGGTGGTTTTCTTAGTTTGTGTTTCTTCTGTAGCTCGAAGAAAGCAGCGAACGGGAAGCGGAAACGTTTCGCACTACTTCATGCTTTATGCACGCGTTGGCATGTGAAATGCTCACTTCCACGTACTCGCATGCCCAGTTGTACTTGTATTAGTGTATGCATGCCTCCTATATACAAGTATATATATGATATATACGTATATTTGCTTGGATGGTGTCCTTCGCCTGCAATGCAATTTTTCCTGTCCACTTTTTTTCTATTTTTCACCAAATAAATAAGAGTCTTTGCACGAATGTTTTTATAGAAGTATGTGTGAGACACTCTTCTTTGCTCTTTTTGAAGTATAAACAGTTTACATATTGTTTTATGGAAACAAACAGTTATTTATAAGCAAATACTGGTTTTTCGCAGTTGAAGTTAAATTTGATTTCCTTACAAAACTTGTGAAATTATTGTTATATTAGGGGGGTTCTTTTCATATGTTACTAACTACCAATTGAAATATTTCAACTAAAGGCACCTGTTGCAACAGCACCTTGGAAAAAGGCTATTATTTTCAAAAGAGAATAGTAGAGAGAGCAAGTATAAGTATTCGTGAAGAGTTTTTTTAAAGTCAAAGGGTGTAAATATATCTGAACTCTTAATATGCTTAAGAAGACCTTGACACTACATATATTAATATCTATATAGAACTAATAAATAAGTGTCACTGCGTTAGGTTATACATGGAGACAATAACTAGTCTCACAGCGGGAAAAACGGTAACAATCAACTGTGTACCCAACATATAGAAAGAGAAGGAAACGAAAAGGCAGACGAGTTGGCATGCTTGGGGGCAGCTAGAAAATGCAAGTCTTGGAACACTAGCAACATAGGGGAGACCATAATGATACTTTGAGGGTAGCTTAAATGGTGGACAGACTAAAAGTCTTCTGCTTTTAGGAAATAGAGAACTTAGTAACATTGTAGCGATTACCACAAAAAAAATTAGATGTTTTACCAAACCTCTGAGTTGTTGGATAATGCTTAATTGGTTACCAGCTTAAATTTTATCTTTTAAAGGTGCTCCAATCTATATAGCTTGTGATATTTTAAAGCAGGTTAAGTTCATTCAATTGTTGACATATAATGTAGACTTCGACGTTTCTAATGAGTTTACTAGGTCCACAAATTGAAGACAGTTTGAAGGAACAAAAGTGTTAAAGGTTTGTTTCACGTAATCTTCTGGTCATATAATATTATATAATATTGAAATACTATGAGGACATTAAAGTCTATAGCAGAAGCCGAAGCTATATTACATTGATTTTCTTTATTGGTGACTTAAGAACTCTCTGAAGATCCCGGTAGTTAAGTAGAAAGGGCTTATTCGCATGCGAGTACAACTTTTAATGCTTTGCGTGACAGTTGATACTGAAACAATGAAGCGCACAAAACAAAGGATATGCCACAATTAACGCTTAGCTTTTAGCGTTACTCTTTAATAATAATTGCGACTGTTGCTTGTCAAAGCATAAAAATATGAGAGTTGCCCAACATTTTGCTTGGCTTCGCGTCGAAAATTGTTTATGTCAAAACAAATGTCTGACGCAAAGCGAAGCAAAATTGCTATGTGAATTGGCCATAACGATTTCAGATCCCTATTTGGTATCAGCGTTAAACGAACTATCTATGCATCATATATACCATAGTTATATATACGTATGTGTGTGATTTATCGACGAAGCGACAAAAAAAAAGAGTTCAAACTAATATATAACTGATTCCTTAATTTTTCTATTTAAAGATGGTGGTAAAATGAGCAACTGTTTTGAAGGTCCATGTGCTTTTAAATATGTATGATTCTCAAATATTTTTCATTTCAAAGCGTTTCGTTGTAAACTTTTTGAAGTAACACTTTTATCGGTTAATTGGGAACTGTTAAAAATTATCCAAACCAAAATAAATGAATAAATATGAAGGTGATCCATCCTAATATATCCATTGTGTGTATATATCTGCATATAATTGTGCAAATTTCCAAAGTGGCTGGTATTTATATTTTCACCACTTGTAAAGGAATTGCATTTTCTATTTGAGAGCCACAGTTTTCTTTGCAAAGCACTGTTTTATTTAATTTTTTTTTGGACCAGGCAAGAAACTTTCTCCACAACTTTCATAGGAGCTTTCAATCATAATTCGATTTGTGCAACTTTCAAGTGTTTTGATTTGAATGATTGCAGGTCACTTATGTATATTTGCGCCAATTTATTGGTTTCCATGTGTGTCCAAGTAGTGGACGTAGTTAGAGGTGAAAAAAAAATTTAGTTCTATAGTAAATAAATAAGAACTTTTAACACTATAGACTCAAGGTTACATCGGACGGTAAAATTTCGAAATTAATTTTATTTATATTTTCATTCTTTATATCAATTATTTTAAACTCCACCACCGATCACTTAAGTAGCGGCGCTTCGTGCATTAAAGCCGCACCAGCGCAACAACCGGTTTCCGTCAATTCCATAATGCCCGGTTCAACATCGGTCATCGTCATGTCCTCCACACCACCTACTGTTGTTGCAAATGGGGCATGCACATCGGGGTCGAGCGGAAAGACCGCACGCAAATCGGCTACTGGCGCACACATACACATCTCCGACATCCGCTTGTACTGGGGCGTCTCCTTGAGCGCGTGTCGCCGATTGCGCACCAAAGGCGCCGTAATGTGCGAGAAACGCGGTGTGGCCAGGCGCACACGAAATCCACAATTGGCCATGTACGCATAGAGTTTGGGATTGTCATAGACGAGCGTTGGCGGCGGATGCCAGGTCTTGAAGTGTTCGTGATAGCTGCGCATGTTGATGCCACTGAGGTTTGGAAAGCAAGCGGCCGGCGGCAGTACGTTGCCGTTAGTGAGCGGTGTTGTGCATGTTGTTGTTGTTGTTGTCAGCGGTTTAGTTGTAAATAAGCTGGGTAGCATTGTTGGTGTTGCGCTTAATGAGGTAGCGGTTGCTGTTGCCATCGGACTCTTGTTTGTTGGTGGAGTGTTGTTAGGCGTTGTTGTTGTAGGTGTGGTGTAAATCATTGTTTTGGTTTTTGTTGCTGTTGCTGTTAGCGTACTATTCGAATGGCAAATTACATTGGAACGCTGTATGAGCACAGTTTCGGTTCGGATTTTGAACTTATCGGATGCGTTACTGTTGTCGTTGGCATTGTTGTTGTCCGCGCTAACTTCATACTCGCTTGTTACTGGCGTCCTTATTGCGCCATGAGATCTGTCAATCAACTTGGCAGGCGATATGCTGGCTGTTGGTGTTTCCGCTTTGGGTACTTCTAGTTCGTGGAAAATGAACGAATAAATGCCATCGCGTCGTTCCAGCTCCTTCAGCATGAGCTCATCGGTGGACAGATTGATATCAATGAAGTCTTTGGTGATGGCGGCCATCTAGCGGAACGAAAATGAAAGTTGAGATTTATGGTAGAATTATTATATTTTTTTTACTTTCTGTGTAAAAAAAAAATTCGAACTTAAAAAGAGAACTAAAGTTAGTATTATATCGGTCGTCACTTAAATAGTGTCAAATAATAATATAATTTAATCAGTCTTGAAACATACTTCTGTATTAGATCGATCTCGATTAATTTTGAACTTTGCCCTCTGGCAGCAACTATGAACCTCGAAGTGTAAATAATAAGTGGCCGAGTTGTCGCTTTGAGTTCAGTGAAGCTTTGATGACCTTCTTAGAGCTTTGACTTGTAAAATTAATCGGTAGTAATATACCGTATCGCATTAGCCCTTGGATGGCTGGCCCTGGCCCTTATATACCCATCGGGCGATGACCTTGATTGCCATTCATTGCATATGAAGTTTAATGACCGCCTTTATTTCTGAGACCCCACGTTAAAAATGTGTAAAAAATTGAACCTTTGCAGTATTTTTTGCTAGTCATAAGACTATTAGACTAGATTAGTTGCCAGAAGAGGTGGTATTGACACTGCTGGGTATTCAACATTATATCGTGCATTATTTGACTTTAAGTGTCAATAGTAATAATAAATAATAAAAAATTATGTACGTTTTCTTTATTATGTGTTGATGAGATCTATAAAAAGAATAAAGAGTTAGGTTAGGTCGTACAGTTTATCCTTGCACTAATGACAGCGATGGTGAGATCCAGCTGTGAACGCCGGTCCTTTGTGATACTCATAAACTCCTAAAAATTATTCATCAGATCCTTATAGATCGACAAAGCGTTTTGAGCTTACTACAAAATTGTTAAGGCGGTTATTATCAATGCCAGCCACTTTTTTGGTTTGGCGAAGGTGTCTCTACCGAGATATAAGAAATATAAGATGGGAAGTAGTGGAAAAAGTGTCTAGATGATTCCACCTCGCTTTCTTCTCTACATCTTAGGTACAAAACATCCGAAAAAGTATTTAGCTCCACCGCGTGTGAGTTTATTTGATAATTTCCAGTCAGAAGTGCCTCACTGGCAAGCTAATTGGCTTAGCCTTTTCCGTTGAGTTTTCTGTGCAAGCCTAGTACTCTCAAACAAGTCTAATACGAAAGAAGCTGATGCAATTGCTAATGATTTCATGCACAGTATACCCGCTCTGGGGTAAATGCACACCTCTCTGAAGAAAGCTACTGTTCGGACTACCTTGGCGGCAGGGACCTCCGTTAGTAAGTCTTATTCCTCTATACAAATTACCCAAAAACGTAGCTTTAGTTTAGTTTAATTTTCAAGTTGAATTTTATTTAATTAATTCGTCTTGGGATCTCTTAAACATGAACACACTTCTTTTACATTTTTTTTACGATATTTTATATAAAATATTTGTTTAGACCGATATACATATGGGATGGAAGTAACTTTTAGTAGTCTAGCCTAACTTTCTCAGTAATATTCTGACATCTATTTTTAATAGTATCGCTTAGTAAGTATCAGATCTTTTCTCGGGAGTCTAGTATTCTACTATTTTGGGGAATCTATAATATTTTATCACGATCGCAAGTATTTGAGCGGCCCAAGGCGAAATCAGCACACACTGGCCTCGTGCGAGCCGTCCGTCCATCTTTGACGATAAAATTGAAAATGTTAAAGACACAGTGCTTGAAAATCAATGAGTCGGCTTCAAATAGATAGCAGAAAATCTCAATATCTTTTATATATCGACTTAACACATTTTGGTTAATGTTTTGGGTACGCAGCGTGTCTATGCTAGCTCCGTACCAAAAGGCCTGAATGTTTGTCGACCTGACCTGAATGTCGAGTAAAGGTCGCAAAAGAGATTATTGACAGCGTATTTGAGGATCATACATTCATGAAAAGAATCATTACTGGAGACGATACATGGACTTATGAATATGAAGTCGAAACTATGCAACAACCTAGCGCTCCAAATTAGCCAAAACCGAAAAAACCAATATTAGGTGACGGCACTCAAGGCCAACACAGCCGACAGTTTTAACAAGTGTATGGAAAATTGCCAATGTTTCAAAATTCATGAAAAAGTGAATTTGATAGTCTAAATTTTTATATACAATAGAACAGCTGCTAAAACAGCGGTAATTTTTACAAATTGCTAATACTAATCTTCTATTCTCAATTTAAACATTTTTTTTAGTATTTATTCTTTTTGTCACTGCCATCATTTTTCTCCTCTCCACATTCACTACAATGGAAATAATTTTATATTTTCTTTTTCTGAATTGCCATTTTTACAATTAAAAAATATTTATAATACCAATTTTAAATCGCTGTTAGCTGGCACTCACTTATAATCCTCTAAACGACACAGCAATTTACACTAAATACCGATAGATAGATATATATTTTTTCTTCCTTTTTTTTTACTCCTTTTCGCCTCGTTTTTTACCGTTCGATCAGGCAACTTTAATTGTCACAGTCAATGCTTAGCCACGGCTCAAATGCGTCTAAACGCAGCTGCAGGCGCGTCCGTCCAGCTTAATTGGAACGGCGACGCAGAAATCCGACAGATTTACATAATTGCACAAACACACGCATACTCACATATACATGTACAAACATATGCGGGCATTAAGCTTCAAATTCTGTTGAACGCGTCACACTTCCATCCGCTGCTGTGAGCGATATCACAACTTTTATTTATTTTCAGCAGAATTTTACAAATTTTTATTTGTTTTTGTTTTGTTTTCGCTTTTTCGTTTTTTCATTTATGCTCCTCTTTTTGGTTTGTGAATTGTCTATTGTGCAGGCATTTCTGTGTGTGCCTTCCTGTGTAGGCGCGTGTCTGGTTGTGCCTGTGACTGTGTGGGCTTATGTGTGTGTGTGCTTGTAACGCAAACCAATTGCCGTTGAACGATCAACAAGAGTTGTTTATAGATTAAAAGTAAATAACGAATGCGTTTGTTCCAAAAAAAAAAATTACAAAAATCATAAAAAAACGAAAGCAAAAAATGACAAAATGTAAAATACACTAACAAAACCATTAACGACGCTGAGAAAACACGGGCATTTCTAAAAAATCTAAATAAATCGGCTTTTATTCGCAAAGTCGCTAGTTCGAACCTTTTAGAATTTTTTGTGTTGTTTTTTCTATAACTTTTTTTCCTGAATGTTGGGTTGGTATGGAGTTGTTGCAGCTTGCCTAAACTGCCGAAAATTCGCATATGTGTATGTACGAACTTTGTATGCTTTCGATTAAAATGTTGAAAATTAAAACTAAAAAACTTTTTGCTGGCCTTTAGATACCTGTTGCTGTGACCGCTTATTCAATGCACATAGGTCATTTGGCTTTATATGTAAATTAAATTTGGATTTTAAAAGTTAATTCACGAACTAGTGAACCTATATCAACCAAAATTGCTAGGGACAATTCGTTGATTAATTGATTAAAGGGGAGAAAAATGAACTCAATCGGCCAATAACCACACCCACTCCTTTATAAACGCTTTAGCTAACAGAAGGAATTTTATATATCGCAATCTGATCAGCCGATTCTTAATGTCGTCTCAAAGAAGGTAGTAAATTGGACACCACAACAACGTCTGCTTCCAAAGATGGGGCAATCGATGTATAATTTTTTCAACTCTATACACTGAATATTCCAGCATTTCTCCGTTCGAATTCACACCACATATTGGGTTTATAACTATATATATATATATATATATATATTCGTGCATTTTTTACAAAATTTTAACGTTGATTTAAGAAAAAAATTACAATAGTGTTATTACTCCATCCAAAAAGAACTGCGCCGGTTTGACGGCCAAGAATGAATCATGCATTTTTAATACCCTGTTCTTTTGAAATGGCTGCCAAATATTATGGGAGTTTTCTTAGGCGTGGCAAGAACTTTCTTCGAGTAATGCTTCTAGTTTCTCATCTTTAAACATTTTCGGCCACACATAATGTTTTTCGATTTCCAAGCCAAAATCACCACTTTTTAATTGTGCATACCACTTTTCGTACATTCGCTCAACTAGTGCATGTACCATAAACTTCCACCAAAATATGATGGCTTTCGCCTAAGGTTTTCTTTATATTAAAGTAGTGAAGAAGAACTCCCCCAAAAACATCTTTTCAGGCACAAAGTTCGATATATTTGATTTAAAAAAATTATTGTTGTTTACGTTTCAAAGGAATGAGCTATCCTGAAAAAGACGAACAAGGACAGTAGCTTTCCAATGCATGTTCGGAATATTGGAACAATGAAATGATGATTAGGTCACGTCATCTGCAGGCGAACCAATTATGACCATAGACCCAATATATAGTTTACTCTATACCTACAGGTTGGCTGAAAAGTTAATTGGGGTCACTAAGAAATAGCACTACTAGCTCCAAATTTTTTGTTTTTATATCAAGTTGGTACATCTGTAGTGAGAACACATGCAAAGTTACAAGTCATTCCGTCAATTAATTATTTGTTTACAAGGCATTTGAAGTGGACGTGTGAAAGTATTTTTTTAATATGGAAAAAATTGAATATCGCACAGTGATTAGATTCTTTGTTTTGAAAGGTTTAAGAACAGAGGAAATTTATGAAAAACTGGAGTGAAAACGAATTTGTCTGAATAATGTGGAGCGTTTTAGGTAGAATAAAACCGATTTCTTGTGCCGTTTTATAAGTATGGATGAGACTTAGATCTGCGACCATGGTCCTAAATTGAAACAAGAACGTTTACAATGGACTGAAGTCGGTTGTTCAGCTCCAAAGCAGGTAAAGCCACAACGATAAGCAAAGAAGGTTATAGCATCAGTCTTTTGGGAGGCAAAAGTAATTTTGTTAATTAATTATCTGCAGAAAGGTAAAAAAATCAACTCTGAATATTATTGCAGCCTTTTGGAGCAGCTGGATGAAAAAATTCGTGAGAAAAGACCTGGTTTGCAGCACAAAAAAATCATTTTGCATCAAGACAATGCACCTGCTCAAAAATGTTTAACAATGACAAAATTCAACAAATTAAAGTACGAATTGCTTCAGCATCCATAGTATTGACTAGCTTTGGCGACGACCAGCGACGACTACCTCTTCAGAAATGTGAAATAATTCCTTCGTAGAAAGCGTTTTTCGTCGAATGAAGAAGCTATTACAGCTGTAGACGGGTATTTTGCAGAGCTTCCGGAAAGTCATTTCAGGGATGGCATGAAATTTTTGGAGCATCATTGGAATAAGTGTATTGAAATTAAGGGAGATTATATTGAATGAAAATATATATTTCGTACCAAAATCAATTTTTTTTTTTATTTTAAGCGCAGAATTTTTTATGAGCAGATATCTCTATGAAACTTTCAGCTAACAATATTAATAATTGGCTTACCATATTCCTACCAAAAATTTTTTATATTTATATTTGCTTTATTATCCTAGATTCCATATACTGTGGCCTAAAGTGGAACTTGTTGACCAGAGTGAATTTTAATGCTAGATTTATTTCGGTTTTTGTGCTAGGTAACCGATAGACGAAGTTACCCATGTATGTGTGATCTTACGATAAAGATCTGCTGACATTGAATTACAGAATTTTTTGAGTTTGTATTTAAAGCTAAAGTAGTTGATTTAAAATTTATGCAGAATAATCTTAGCAGTCGGCAGACAAGCTGTGACTCGAAGCAACCAGTATTCGTGCATTTATTGGTATAAGCAGCTTTGTTGTTCTTAACCACGCTAATGATGTTCGCGCAGCCTTTTAATAGGGTTACATGATCGTTAGTAAGTCCAGGGTTTCAGATGGAGAAGTTAGGCGCACGTCATAAATTGTCTCACTTTTGCTATCTAAGATCATCGCAAACTCTCGAATTTTAGTATCGTATTTTCCAAAAGAATGGAGGGCTTCTTTCGAGAAAAAGTTTGTATATTTCCTTCAATAGTTCCCTCTTTTAAAATCCCAATTAGCAGCGAGCTAATTTTATTCGTTTCCTTACATTAAAATACATACATATGTGTATACATTACAACCCGAAATTACGATCGTGTACTATTCTGCGTCCGCTTTCCCTCTCCGGCCACAACATGTGCGTGTGTGTAATGTGCTCGTGTTTTTATTATCCTACGGTTCAATGGTTTTGACAACGCCATAAGAAGCAAGACCTTACGCAAACTTCGTCAATGATTATCTGGGTCATTAACACTTTTTGTTGTCTAACGACGACGGAGGTGCGAAAGAAAGCTCGGGTAAGGTATTGTCGATAATGGTCATAAAACTTTGAAAGAATTTTTTGTTTCAAATTGATTTTATGCTTTGTGCGTATAAAATGGAGAAACAAAAGAAGCTTCCGCAGACGACGGTGCTAATAAAAATGTTGCACCAACTACAGTAGAACTCTCACTACCACCAACACGGTTCGCCAACCATTAGCGGCAGCGCTGAGTTTGTGCTTCTACGCCGTGGTGTCTCATATCGCCAATCGAGAAGAGTGTGCGCGTGTTTTTATAACATTATCTTTGAAAGTTTAGCTCGACGCTTTGGTGTTTTGCAGCCATCTCCTATAAAGTTTGCCAGCCATTGACATTAGGCGCGTGTGAATAAAGCTTTGAAGTGTTTCCACAGCACACCGTTAGCGTAAATGTCTTTTAAGAAAATCGTTTTTGTTGTAGAATTTCATTTGACTTCTGATTTCCTCAGTGGAGTACCTCCATGGCGGGCAAAACTTTGACTAGCCTTTGTTAGCTTATTTTGCTTCTAGAACTTCTCAGTTTTTAGTGTTATATACTTTTGCTTCTTCTTCTTCCTTCCTTTGGTCTCCTCATGCCCTCTGATAGATTTTCAGCTGTGTGGCTCACTTTCGCTTTTTCGCTCTTTACCTACAACAACCTCTGTGTTTGCCTCCTTTGCCTTATGGCTTCGCGTCGCTTGTCTTTGCCATCTGACACTGACCCACATCCAATTCAGTCTCACTTTCTATTTGTTTCCTCTAGCATCTCACATGTATGTATGTATGTATATTTCGGTGTACTTTCACTTTCATTGCCATTAGGCGACAGTTTGTGCCATAAAATTGCTTTATACTCGTGGATGCGCAAAGTTTTTGGCTGGCGAAGACGATTTTCGATTATTTGTTTTGATAGTAGAATTCTTTGAGGTTGTCAATAATAACTTGAGTGAGTGCAGAGTGTGAAGTGAGTGAGTTGAGGAAAAAAAACCGTTAGACGTTATTGAAGCGTAAGCGGCGAAAATGTGTTACACTTGATAAATGAGCGCATTTTTCGCTTTGACAGCCAAAATTATGAATGTAATAAAAATCATTATTAAAGTACCGTTAAAATCTTTAGTTTACAGCTTGAATGTGGTGAAATTGAAATTCTAGGCTTTGTTGAAAATGCAGAAAGTACTTCAAAAGTGGAAACTTCTGTGAGTTTGCGAAAACTAAAAAATATAGAAAAGCAGACAAGACATGATACCAAGTTCGATACCTAACAAAATTCCGAATTTATAGAAACGTATAATCATTATTTAGTTTGGCCCTACTTTTCCTCAATATTAGTTACAAATTAGCTTTGGTCGTCTTAATAATACCTAATAGCTTCATTCAGGCAAATAGTAATAGTATGGTAACCATGAGAGGAACTGCATGATTACTTTGAGTTTCTTTGTTGTAAAAAACGATTTATAATTGCGGACCTCTCCATTTATTTCATGAGATAAGTATTAGGCATAACATTAAATAACACAGAATTTTGAGCGTGTCAATGTTATACGGAGAAATATGTTCTAGAAATCAGTCAGTGATATGCAGTAGTTTATATTCGGTAAGCAACGAAGATTAAATTACATCGATGTCTGGCGGAGAACCTTACCAATAGGTAGCCAAACTACCATGTAGTAGATTAAACTAGAAAGGTTCGAAGTCATGATTAAATTAGCCTGTGTTCATGTTTGAGGCGAAACCAGATTAGAACAATATAACTCTTAAAAAACACTCCAAAATCGGTACATACTCTTTCGTGACCCTAGATATCGAATAT